CTATTCACTATTAATATTATTTTTTTTATTTATTTAATCAAAAATATTACAATCTGTCACAATTAAGGACATTTATAATAGTGCTCAGAGAGCAAACTTACACTCTATTTACAATAAATAATACAGAAACTAATAATAATAAAAATAAAGGTATATAAACAAAAGAACTAACCTAATCAAAATAACAACTAAAACACATCCATACTATACAATATTTACAGAATCCATTCACTCAGAAGAACTCCGAGCCAAGCCTTTCTCTCCACTCGTGGAAGGAAAGGCAGGACTCTAGGAGATCCCAGCGCCTCGCACTCAGCCGCATTACTGGTATTAAGAACCAGTAGAGGCTAAGGAGAGGTCTATTCATATTAAGAACAATAAACATAATGATCTTAATATTTGCTGTTATTGTATATTGTATTGTTATTAGTTTTGGAAATTTGCCTGTAGCGATTAATAAGTATGCTGTGTTTAAAGCAACCCAATGTAATTGGGCAGCACCCTTTTATGATAATAAAGTGATTCTCTCTTGTAATTGCTATTGAATAAGTTTATTCACATTGTTTATATTTTTTATCTAAACATTATGTGACTTCTACATTTTTCTATAGCCTTTCGTATCTTGTTCGTTCTAGCTCTGAAGAAGACCTGCAAAGTCGGGTTGAAACGTTGGCTTTAAATAAAATAGTTTTTCATTATTTTAGTATTTTTATGGCCGCCACCCCAGACCAGCTCTTTACTCAATAATATACCACAGTCAAATATTAATTATTCAAATAGGATTTCGTATTGTACACTTTTTTTTTTTTTTTACACCGGACATTTCTCACCTTAACAGATTGTAATGAATTTTGTTATCAATATTGTGAATTGATTTTGTTATAGTTCTATTTATAATTAACAGTATTTTTAAGAGGAAAAAAATTGTATTTTAGTAATAAAAGGACACAAAGGAAAACCAAGTGTTTCTGTTAGCCACTCAAATCACCTCTTGTGAATAAATCTGGAAAAATGAGAGAGGGGTGGCTTTTGTAGGGGTGTGTACATGCATGACTTAGCAGGCCAGCAGCAGCAGCCTTACCCATCAAATATTAAACAGGGCGGTCTCCTTGATGGAGAATGTTTTTTAAAATTCATATTTAAAAAAAAAAACGTATTCCTCTTTACCTTCTAGTGCATTTTAAGGTTATGTTATCTCATCTTTCGAATATATACTTTATTTATATGTAGATCCCATTTCCATGCCGATGACACATGTGTCCTATCAGTTGATAATTATCCAATAATCGCATCGCAAACTCTTCAATCACACATCACAAACGTCGAAGAATGGTGTCAAAATTTGAGGATTGAAATAAATTCCAATAAATCCCGTCAAATCACCTTTACCCTTCGTCGTAAAGCTATGACTTCCTGTCCTACAGTATCCTTTAATAATATCCCGCTTATCCCTGTTGAACAAATCCGGTACGTTGGACTCCACTTTTACAAACGTCTAACTTGGAATCCTAATACCAGACTTAAACGACAAGAAACCGCTCGACGTTTCCGATTACTTCAGCGCTTACTAGAAAAACGCTCTAAACTTCCAATTAATTACAAAAGACTCATATACATGACTGTAATAACGCCTATTTGGACTTACGGAGTTGAGCTATGGGGCTCCAATAAACCATCGAATTCCTCTCGTATCCAATCCTTATAATCCAAAATCCTTCGTAAAATCCTTAATGCTCCCTACTTTGTTACAAATAAAACCATCCATAATGACCTTAATGATCCTTATATTAATAAACTTCAGAATCATCGTTTCTACCCTTGCTTCCTCTTCCATTCCTGATAACCCTCCGAGGCGTCTGAAAAGAAGATGGCCCCGTGATCTCCTGATGTAGACATATCATTAGATTGCTACCATTGGGTAGTTACTCAGCAAGTGTTTTAATGTCATCATATCCATATGTTCAAATTTACTAGATGTATTTCTTTAATACAGTTGTAAATATCATTAAGAAATAATAAAAAACATCATCCATATTCTTATATTTCTTCTTGAATCACTTTTGTTTCAACATTTTTAGTTTTGTTGTCGGTGAATATGGTGAGAAAGCTATACTGACCTTACTGGGCAGAAGTTTTTTTGATGGTTTTTATACAATAGATCGTCTACAATAAGTTACATAATAAAAAAAAAAGTAGAAAGTTTCCTCTTTCTAAAGAAATACATATAGAAAGATCTCGTTGGAAAATATAATATGAAGGTTCGATAGGCCGGAGGTGGCTACCTTTAGAATTGAGGAGGGAAAAGGTCTTGTAATAAAAAGTATTTCCATTGGAACATCCGTCGGTTTTTTAAAAATCTTTCTTTCACCAACTTCTCCCTCAGCTTTCTTTTTCCTTCAACATTTTATTCTTAGTCTTTTCTGACTTTTTTTTATGATTTCAGAAAGCTTTTCATTCATAATGATAATTATAAGTTTTTCCCCGCTGAGTTGAAAACGCTCTGATTTGAATGAAGCGTCGGAGTGGTAATTTTCATGATTCAATTTAATTTAATTGATCTATATATGTATATTTATACCATATAAAAAATTATTATAAAGTCCAAGGAATAATAATAAAAATAAATAATCATATATTTATTATTATGATGGTGTGGAGATGGTTGACGGTGATAATAATTTGAAAAGGAGTTGGTCGGGAGTGCGTTCAATATTACAGAGTATATAAAAAAATGACCGTTTTTCAACCAAATATTTGTATTATTATTTCTTTAATGTAAAATACAATTAATACTCAAAGTATAGTCCATTGTTATCCTTTCATTAGCCATCTGCAAGCCAATTACTCGATCTCACGCTGATACCATATTTTGGAATGGATGTCAAAGAACTCTTGGACCACAATTTCAACTTCCGCAAAATTATCGAATATTTTCCCCTTGAAGAACATGGCCCATGGATCTAAATAAGTAGTAATCCGATGGTGCGAGGTCTGTACTATATGGTTGATGGGGCAGGAGTTTTTCAGGCAAGGGTTTTTCAATAAATTTTCATAAATTTCTTACCTCTTAGCTGATTGCTGAGGAGTAAATTCGTGAGGGACCTGTCTACTGCTCTATTTCACCTTACCCATGGAGGGTACTAACAGTCTCTTTCACAACAACACACTCCCTGTTAAGTTCGTGAGTACTTGAGGACGGATTTGACTCAATAACTTCCTGCAGAACCCCATTAATATCCATTAATGGTCGTTCGGAGCCTTTCTTAAATATATTGGTAAGTGAAAGTAAAAATTATATGTGAGATATATTTGAATTCTTCTTACAGTAAATTTAATAGTTACTTAGCACCCGAAGATTAAAACGACATTTTTCTGCTTGACGAGTCCCAACGCAATTGCAAATACATTTTAAACAATTTTATTTTCTATTGTAGTAAAAATTATGGCTCTAAATAATTTTTATTTCATTCAGTTTTTAAGTTTAGCTTCTGAATAAAATAGAATCATTAATAATTTGCTGTCAGATTATAAATGTTTAAATTTAATAACGTAGTCTCTTGTTGAAGTTTGCAAATCTTGTTAAAGCCTAAATTCTTCGAATTTGCATTAATGATGAAAAATGCTTTCAAAGAATAATGCAAACAGATATATCAATTTTTCATGCTATAACTTTTTGTAGGATATTTTCTTTCCCACTATTAGAGAAACTTTGTATTCGTGTAGAATGCAAAAATTTCGATCAAGAGATTTCGAGATAAATTAATATTAGATCTTGTCGAAAATCTCCTAGGTGCCATGGTTTTTTTTGCTACATTATCACATATTGTTTAGGTTTTAAAAATTATGATTCCATTATTTACAATAGTCTACGACAAATTAAAATTCTATTAAAAATGTTAGCGGGAAAAGACTGTTCTATGATCGCTTGAAAAAATGACCGTTTTCCAATCCAATATTTGTATTATTATTTCTTTGATTTAAAGTAGAATTAATGCTCAAAGTATAGTCCATTGTTATCTATCGTCACTAACCAATTGCTAATACTATTCTTTGGAGTGGCTGTCAAAGAATTCTTGGACCGCAATTTCAACTTCCACATAACTATAAAATATTTTTCCTTTAAGATCATGGGCCATGGTTTTAATGGCCATAATTTTTCAAACTAACATCGCGTAGTGCGTTGGCCAAGGACTCCTTCCCTACATATTTAATAATTTCACGAGTTGCTTCAGTGCCTGTGAATTTTTTCTTTCTGGTTATGCCTTAAAATTACGAGAATTTCATAGAACACTGTCATGTTTCTTCTTTAAAAATAATTACAAAGCTGAGCATTTTTTTGAAGAAGTCGAATGGAATTAAACAAGCTTAAAGAATGCTCTAAAGGAGTTATTAAGGATTGGTAAGTATTAAATAGAAGTAAAATATTTTCAGTCCTTTGAAATTTTGAATTTGATAAAACTTTCATATTTTTTTTTATACTTCCTATTTTAACACTATACAGGCTGTAATGTCCAACTCCGGGTGAAGGGAGGGTTCTAGACAAAATTTCTCACACAAAAGTTCATTCGGTGAATGGGCCGATTCCGATCATAAAATGGAATAAAACCAATTTTGTGCGGTCACGTTTTGTAGTGAATAAGAAGGAATAACTCAAAAACTGTTCAAGGTAATTAAATTATAAGTACACCATCGTAAAATAGACATTTTTTTTTAAATATTGATTAAATTTACTAAGGTCAATGATAAAAGGGATTTTCAGGAGTTCTGATACGACATACAATTAATACAACATCTTTAACTGGAATAAAATAAAGTAAATAAAGTCTAAATATCAAACAAAAAAAACATACGTTTCCATCTTTATGTATTCTATTTAAATTTGTTTATTAATCTTATCAAAATTAATTCAAACATAAAATAAATAAATATACAATCTTTTAAAGCGTATAAAACCTACTAGGGCACATTCATTTACAATAACAGATCATCTATTTCTTCAACTACATCAGGATGCATCCGCTAGACCCAGACGTATCTGAAATGAAATTAAGTTAATATATTTATAAATATATATATATATATATATATATATATATATATATATATATATATATATATATATAATGTTTAAGTTAATTTATATTTGGACATGATTTAGGTCTGAACCAATAGAATTTCAACGCTTTTTGTTTTCATTTCATCAGAATATACGGTATAGGATTCTCAAATAACTTTGATAAAGACATATATTAATTATTATAATTATTAGTCAGGAATTAATATTATTCTTGAATATTCAGTAAACTATATTTATAAACGTTAATATTTTTATGCTAGGTTATAGGTTATGTATTTTTGAGAATAATATTGAAACATTTTTTTTAAGTTATATAATTGATTTTTTTTTTTAATAATTATTACGTAGTAGCAGTTGCTAACTACTAACGGTTTTTTAAGTTGAAAATTATGACTATGAAAATAACAGACTTCACACCATGTTAGATTTAAATGTAAAGAATTTAAAACGTCAGATTTTTAAAAAAAGTCAGATTTTTTTAAAAATAGTTCTTACTATAAAATTTATTTACAAAAGAATTTTTTTTTCATTTTATTAATGTTTTTATGACAAATTGGATAACATCTTTAAATAATAATAAAATATAATTCTCTGTCAGCAAAAGCAGTAATTTTTTATTAAATTAAAATAATTGTGTTTTGAAATGACTCTCAATTGTTGTCTTGAAAAATATATTTTATTTTATTTCTGAGAATGAACAAATAATATTATTTAAAAAAACACACATTAATTTATAAAAATATTTTTGAAAATAATTAATTAAGAGGGAAAACCTGGTGGTCCTTACGAAGTACTGAACCCAAGACACTTCATGGGTTCCTGTGATACAAATTGATTATTCTTTATTATTTATTGAATTTAAATATTTATCTTCTGAATTTAATTATTTTTTAAAAATATTTTATACTTGTTTATTTGCAAAAATAAATTGAAAACATACCATCTTTTTTACGTTTGGTCTCATCAGGAAGAATGCTGCCTTGGCCCATAAGCCATTCTCTGTTTCTGTTCATTTCGGCTATCCATCTATCTAAAGAAAAAAAATAAAGTAATTTATTATTAAAATAATTATTAATTATAATATTATAATAACTATCATGATTACTATTAACTTAAAAACATTAAATTAAATAATTAAAATTAAAAGATCAAAGGAATTTTAATTTACTAACCGTTTAATTCTTCAAGCGTTGGGCCATCCCCACCATATTCTTTCGGAAGCATGGATTTAGTCATACCTTTGATAAAGTTTGCTTCAGAGTCGGCATAGACAAAGAACTAAAAACAAAGTTTCATATTTTCATAATAAAATACCAAAAAGCCATTTGATATTTTGCCTTACTCATTATCAAAGGTAAGAAAACTTTGGATACATGCGATAAGAGAAAAAAAAAATTTATTGCTGTCACAAGGAGGAGCTCGAACGCTAGCTAGTAAGGCTATCAAGAACTCACATGTTCCTCAAAAAATAATCGATGAACTTATTAAAATTATTAATTAACATTCAGGCTAATCCTGATGAGAGATTATTTTTAGTTCCAAAAAGAAACAACCATTAAATTGAAAATGTTAAGCATTTCATCCTCTTTGTAATAAACTATTATTCAAATTTGTATCTCAACGCAATCTGATGTTAGAGAGGCAAAAAGATGAAAAGAAAATGCCGAAAACCAAATTATAACGTGTTTTGTTGAACATTTTGATCAAAATATCTGAGAAACTTTAATTTCGAACTATATAATGTAAACAAGGAAAATTGTCGGAATTTCATCCTCTTTGTTATGAACTATAAATCAAAATTGTATGTTCACGTGATGCCGCACAGTGGCCACAAACTATTTTTTTGGACAATAAATCTATAACTCCATTATTTTTCTAACGATTTTCTTTGTTTTTTGTTTTATAGCATCACTACTAAATATACTCCATTATCTGTACAATGAATATAAAATATTATCAGAAATAATATATGAAAATACGCAAATAAAAAAGACTATGGTAGAGAACTTGAGATATCTTTCTATTCTAATTATCTAATCTAAAATTCTAATTATTATTTATTTTCGAATTTTAGAAATATCTTGTTTTAGCTTCATAGATATTATTTATATATACATCGAGTAAGATATTATAATTCATGAATTTTTAAATATTGAAAAATATGATTAATTTCAAGTTTGGTTCATTCGGCTGAAAAAATAGTTCCTCAAAAACTTATAGATGTTCTTATTTTGATAATATTGTGAATTTCAGAAAATGCCAATGTTAGACTTTCCACTAGCAAAATAATATTTTCTTTTTTTTTTTTTTTAATATAGGATTCAGGACTTCAATATAAAATTCAGTATGAAATTATTATATCTTAGCTTATTATTTAAACGCTTTTTTTTACGCATATCGGTTATTTCTCGTCCATGAATTGATCTTCATTTTGCATATTGTTCTTCGTGCTTATAATTCATAACATTTTGACTGCACATCCTCCCAATTTTTTATCATCATAAATAAATAACGCATGACACAGAACTATATTAACATTTTTGTTACCTTTAGCTTTGTATGGATATTGGTAGTTTGAAGAACATAATGTCGGAGAAGAACATGAAAAGTAGTATTATGTCTAATTTTTCACCACTTAGGACGCGTTTTCAAAGAGATGGAAGTTCTTGTTATAGAGTTGAAAAGGGGGAAAAAAAGATCAAATAATAACTATTTTGAACATTTGGACTGAAATATCTCAACATTTAAATGCATGAAAAATTCAGAAGCCAATTTGTAAAAGTCAATATGTATATTTACTTTAATTAGCCGTGAAAATAATGTATTAAGTATTTCTATTAGATTTTCTGTAGCACTCAATAGTGTTTCGACACCGTTACAGAAGATCCATTAAAAAAAAGGGGGGGTCCATTGCTGAATGATTGTCTTATACTAATTGTATACGAATGTATAAATATACTGTGAATTGTATATATTGTAAATTTTGTTACTTTGTATATACAGAAAAACAAAATTGTATTCCATACATAATAGAGCTTTCTTCTTCTCTCAAAGGTATCGAAATCCCGAAAAATCTCAAGAAATTTTAAACTAAAGCTATGATAAAGCCAGTTCTAATATATGGATGTGAGACGTGGACACCAGCACCCTAGTGTTGAAAGATTTGAGAGGATAATCATCCGCATTATAACCGGAGCGATCTGGAATCAGAGAACTAACACAAGGAGAAGAAAAACCAACAAAGAACTGCATACAGAAACTGGTCGATCAATATCTCATGATATGAAGGCACGGAGGTTAAGATGGGCAGGTCATGTAGCACGTAGGAATCCATCTGGAAGCCTCTACGTAACTATGAATGACTCAATAGAAGGCAAAAGACCATGTGGAAGACCAAAAAGCAGATGGATAGATAGAAATAAGAAAGATGCAAGAGAGCTGCGTTCAGATAAATGGAAAGAAATAGCCCAAAACAGGCTGCAAAAGATCTACAGAAATTTATCTCGGGATCAAGTCGTAGATTTATTAAATGAAAACAATTGGATAACATTGGTAAATTACTGCAAGACTGCTTTCTCCTATAGAATAATGCTCACCAAAGAATTTAACAATTAATGAATTGGAGAATTTTGGTATCCCTCTTTTTGCAATTAAAATATTTATATAACTTTTACATTGTAAATATAGTAGTTCTTATTTTCGTATTAATTAGTTGGATATAAATAGATTGAAATATAATTTTGTTCTAAAACACAGACTCCTCTGACGGTCAACAGGCCATGTAGCACGTCTTCGGTTTTAAATCCAAAAACATTATTTTGTATTGTTTTTTAATTTATATTATGTAATTTTGTTAAATAAAAAGACTTTTTCTTCTTCTACATGGTCTGTAATGCTAACAAAAAAATATTATTAATGTGGCCTTGTCGATTTTTCACTTCTATCGTAAAGAACACCCCGTAGTGTTTTTTTTTAACATCGATTGATTCCAAGTTATATAGTATTTTTATATGATTTTCTATTATCCCCCAAACTGAATATATTCTGTTCTATATTGACAATATCACAGCCAATCGACCAAGTTATATTGTTTTTTTTTTCGTTCTTGTGTTGGAGAACCCTTCTGGGAGAAGGGAATATCTCGCTGTTAAGGTTTCCCTCAAGGCGGGCTTTTTCGAGCACCTTTTTATTCATTATTCCCTCCCGTCATCTTTAATTTATCGTTGAAATTCCCGGCACTCTCCCCCCCCCCCTGAGAGCTAGGCTCTCTCCCGGTATTATATTTCATCCGATTTTAGCTACCGTCAATTTATTTACAGAGGAATAATCAAAAGCTAGGAGCCAGGAGATTTTGTATTTTACATATAAAATTAATTGAATTTTTTTTTTAACACAATCAATTAACTTATGACTAAGCTCTTTAATTTATATATTTAATTAGAGGACGCCAGACAGTGGTCTGAGAGCTTCAAAACCTCTATTTTTAACTTGTACTGATAGTTCAAATTTCCTATATTTTTATTGTGGGATATAGTTAACTCATAACAGTTTCTTTTCCTTTATCCTTTATTGAGATATATTACAATCTGTCACATCTAAGGAGAATAGTAATAGTGATAGAGAGTAGCTCATTCACACTATGTACAATAAATGAAAATAAATAGACAACAAAATAATAATACTAAAATTAGATTAAAGTCACCGGTAGTAAAAGGCTGCCAGACATACAAGACTATTAAATCCAGATACCAGACATTCCGATACGTTCCGATAATGAAAGGTCTGGATTTAGAAAAGCCTTCCAAAACCATAACGGTGTTTTTTTGCTCACCTGTTAGGAGTTAAGAACGATATTACATATTGTGAGACCCTGCCTTAACAATAATATATACCTCAAAATTCTCAGCTTCCTATTACTCAAACTTCGCCTATTCCAGAATAATTTTATCAACACCTTATTCCTCACATTCCTCCCCCATGAAATATCACAGATCTCACCAGTTTACTTACATCTTTCGTCTCTGAATTCAGATCCCTTGTTACTCCTTTGATATCCCTTCTCACTAATCTGTATCACATTTTATTCCTCCCCCAAAAAATCATTAAATGACTTCCATATAACCCTATATCCATTCTCATTTGGAATGCAAATGGTATTAGGAATCATACAGACTAACTAACTGCATTATTACTTGACAAGAATATTGTGAACGTTGTGAGTCTCTTCCTTATAATTTTAAATTTAACTCGTTAGAATCTTTTCAAGCTGCCATTTTTTGCTATATTTGCACAACAACACTCTCATGTGATCTAAATTCCTTCTAAAATAACTTAAACATTAATATTTAGGTCGGTTTTTAAATATTTTTCGATAACATGTTTTTCACCAATAATAGTACACATCAGAGTACCAGTAGTAGACATGGAAACACTCCAGTAGTTGACACCATTTAATTAATATATTTAATTTATTTCTAATCATCATACCAGACTGAAACGACAAGAATCCGCTCGACGATTCCGATTACTTCAGCACTTACTAGACAAACGCTCTAAACTTCCAATTAATTACAAAAGGCTCATATACATGACTATAAAAAGGCCTATTTGGACTTACGGAGTTGAGATATGCAGCTCCACTAAACCATCGAATTCCTTTCGTATCCAATCCTTACAATCCAAAACCCTTCGTAAAATCCTCAATGCTCCCTACTTTGTTACAAATAAAACCATCCATAATGACCTTAATGTTTCTTTTTTTTTCAGATCTGGCCCAATCCAGATACCTATCCTTCCATAATAATTTTAAGAATCATCCCAACCCTCTCGTTCCTAACCTTGCTTCCTCTTTAATTCCTGATGACCCTCCGAGGCGTCTGAAAAAAAGATGGGCCCGTGATCTCCTAATGTAGGCATATCATTAGAGTGCAACCATTGGGTAGTTACTCAGCAAGTGTTTTCATGTCATTATATCCATATGTTCAAATTTACTAGATGTATTTATATAATACAGTTGTAAATATCATTAAGAAATGATTAAAAAAAAAATTCTAATCGAATATGCACCTATATTGGCAGTTTTTACCAAGGAACTATGATTTAAAATAAAATATAAACTTCAAAAATGCAAAAAACAAAAAAATTTATTTTTTTAATTAAATTACATTTGTAGGTAAAAAGGAACAAGACATTTCCTGGTAAAAATCGAACACTCCCATGCTTAGAATAAAACTATGAATGATATTCAACTATTACCAGGAAAAAGTTGAGTTTTCTAGTAATAGACACTTCTGTCTACTACTGGAACAAGAAGTATTATCATTATTCCAATAGTAACAGTTTGATTTGTGCTCATTCAAACAAAACTAACACACAAAAACACGTTACCTAGTTAGTTCATTGTCTACATTATCATTTAGAAAAAACAATTGTGAAAAATCTTGGAACAATAAAAGAATAATTGATGAAAATCGAACCCCCCTCCTTAGCTGATTTGGTAACAGCAGAACCTTGGAGGACACCGCAAAGATATCAGCTGATCTAACCTCTCCACTGCTCACTTGGTTCGCTACCGCACTCTAGTGGTTACACAGTGTAAGCTAATATTTAAAATGACACCAAATTCAAATCATTCTGATAATTCCAACTCTTTTTTTTTTTTTTAAGTTAAAGTTTCATGCGTCTACTACTGATGCCTTTACCCTAAATGTATATAAAAAAATTAAACTGAACAAAAGGAAACTAAACCAACAAAAATAAGTACTTAAATACATACATGCTTTCATACAATTTTTACAAGATTCATACACTCAAGATCTCCGAGCCAAGCCTTTCCTCCATTCGTGGAAGGAAAGACATGACTCTAGGAGATCCCAGCACCTCTTACTCAGCCGCAACAGTATTAAGGACCATTAGAGGCTGAGCAGAGGCGCTATAACCAGACATACATGGCTTGAGTGGAAAATCTGACCATTGCCAGTACTCATTATATTCTTACAACAGGTCTCTGGGCCTCTCTGCCTCTTTAACCTTCGAGGAGGATTGTAGGGATGAGTAGAGCTAAGAATTGTGGAAGTGGGTTTGGATGATATGTAAGATCTTGATGGAATTTGGAAAAGTTTTCATGGATAAAATCTAGGACAAATGGGATATTAAGGTCATGGTGTAGGATTTTATTGATTACATAGAACGGAGCATCAACTATTGTTCGAACTGAAAGGATTGAATGCGTTTGATGTTAGAAAATTTTCTGTTCTCCAGTTCCAGTACGTCGGTCCAAATAGGTTTCAATATTGTTTTGTAGATCAGCAATTTGTTGTTAGTTGAAAGTTGAGATTTTCTGTTCAGTAGTCTATATAGCTTTCAATGTCGTCGGTTGAGTATTTGTCTTTCAAGTCTAGTATGAGGGTTCCATGTTAGTCTTCGGTTTAAATACTAGCATTAGGATTAGAATATAGGTATATTAGTTAGTCAACCCAATTCCATAAAGATCAGTTCACATAGTTGAGGTTTATGTAAAAAGATTGTGCGATATATTGTTTTGTTAATAATTTTTAAATGTTTATTTTTTAAGAAGGTCTTTACATTTGAATATTGTCTGTTTGTCTGTACTTTTCTATTTATACATATAATAGTAATATAATAATAATATTTTATTTTTTACCTTTCTGGATATTTTTTCCTTCAACATGGGTTTCAGCACTTTTTCAAGCACAACTTTTACCAATGGACATGCATTTAAAAATACTACACTTTCCAACCCGATGGGGTAGACATTCTGAAATCAACTATGTTTTGTTAGATAACATCATTTAACAGAATATAATGTAAGATAAATAAACAATACAAAGCACAAAATAATATCTAAACATAAATTGCGAGAGAAAGAGATTTATTTATGTTTGAGAACATATAGATCCTAATTTAAATGGAATACACTATTAGAACAGAATAATTTAAATATATCCATACAAATCATAGAATAGAGAAAATATATTGATGAAAATAAATGCACACATAAATACTTTTGAATAAGGCTAAATAAATTTAAAAAAACATAACTGTGGAAGATTAAAAAAAAATTCATCTGCTGATTGGAGGCAAAATTGATATGAAGATTTCGAAATCGATAATCATTTTTCCACAAAATCAAGTAACAATTATTATATTTGATTTTTAATTTAAAAATCATAATTGATTTAAAAAAAAATTATATCGATCTTTGATGTTTATTGGTTCGATTAAAAATAATTATCATTCACTGAGGGATACTGTTGTACATAAATAATAATGATTAAATTGTAATCAGAAAATAAAAATCACCTTTTCCACACAAAATATTAATATGTCTGTATACGTAATTATAATTAATTAATATAGACATTTAATATTATATTTCTGAAATTGCTTTAATAATTATGCACGTGGTACCTGCACTATATATGTATATATTTATATATATTCTTTGTGAGCCAAAATTTCCAATAAATTTCTAAAATAAAGTTATACCATACTCAAAAGATATCATAGAGATTACAAAAAAAATATATTTCTGACTTAAAACAGTATTAATCAAGAATTATTATTATTGTTAATTGTAAAATTTGTGTCCAAAAATAATGACCAGAATATGGTTTTTACCACTTATTATCAAAAATAAAAATCGATTGCATCAAAAATAATCAAATGATTTTTAAAAATTTCAGATAAAAATGTTGATAAGATTTTATTTTGATTTTTCAAATTATCGATTTCAAACACTGGTATAAATATTTAAATATTTTCTGTTATTCTGTCACAAAACATTTAAATATTTTATTTTATATAGATTGATAAATGAAATCACAACGATGTGAATATAGAAAAAAAAAATATTTTTTATGTTATTAATCCTGCCCATTAATGTTTTAACTTCTTTCGTGTAGTCTAAAATACTCATCATAGTTTTTTTTTTTAACTTGTATATTGAAAAATATTACAATCTGTCTCAAAGGACATTTATAATAGTTTTCAGAGATCACATTCACACTCTGTGCACAATAAATAAAATAAATCAAACAGAAAAATAATATATATACAATAAATAAGAATAAAATAACCTAAAAATAAATAAATAAAAAAGAACACAAATATACCTATATACACTATTTACAATCAGGCGAGAGAACCCCCCAGACTTGCCCTCCAACTGTGGAGGGAAAAGCATGACTCCAGGAGATCCCTTCACTTCTCCCTCAACCGCGTCACTGGGGCTAAACCCAGTGGAGATTGAGCAAGAGTGCTTTAGCCACATACACTCATGTCGTGAGTGGAGAATCTGGCGATTGGAGAATTCCAATATTCACAAACTATAGAAGGTCGCGGTGGGACTGCCGTTTTAACCTACTTGGAGGATTATAGGGATGAGTGGTGCTGGATAGGGATTGCGCAAAGGGATTCGGATGATAGTTAAGGTTCTGGGGAAATTTGGAAAAATTTTCTAGGATAAGGTCTGTAAATTAAAATTAAAATCTATAAAAGTAAAAACATATATATGATACCTGATAGCATACTGAGCTTTCTTTCACTTTTTTGGGAGATATTTTGACCATATGGCGTACGGTGCTCTCAGCGGAATCCACGATAATATTGATCTTATGGACGAAGTTGTCTTCCCGCAGCCATATGTCCATGAGGAAGTACCATCTTCTTAGGAAGGAAATGAAATTGAAATTCTCTGGATTGGTGTCCCTTAGACGAATTATGATGCACCTCGCGCCAGATTTAGTCAAACCTGGCAGAAATCCTAAATATCTGTTGGAATAAAATACTTGACGTGAATTCACTTTCTTATTTTCAATAATACATTCAGCCAGTACAAGTAATAATGAAATTTCAGAATATTGGTTGGGGTGATAAGTAAAAAAAAAAAGTTTATACTTATTTATTTTTAATTCTTTTTAACTGATACCCCAATCAATCTCTTCAATTATTCGCTACAATCAACCATCAATCCACAAATATTCAACTTTTTAGTTTATTATTTTCAATAATGAACCATTGTTATCAAACGAAAAATTCAAAAACTTAATCTCTCTCAAAATTCGAGGTTTTACGTTTCAGACTAGGTAGAATTCAAACGAATAAAAAAAATTTTGTCCGTCCGCTGTTCGTGCATTTTCTCCGAAACTACTTGACCGATATTTTTCAAATTTGGATTTAAAATTAGAGGTCACCCAAGGATGGTCCTATTTCATCTACATTTCTATCCACCTTTTCCTTTCAACATGGCGACCGAAAAACCTGCATTGCTATAGACTGCAGCGCCTAAATTTCGTAAACAGTTTCATCTCATCGTAATCTACAACTATTTTATTTACGAAAACTCCTGGAATTGGGGAGTTTATTGAAAACAATTAGTTACTAAAATCCGTAAATACCCATTTTCTTTCTATTTGGATCGTAGGATAATTTGATCACAAAATCGATAAAAAAGACGGTCTACAAAAATTTGGGCCGTTTATCCTATATAACCCCGTTATTTTGAAAATTAGAGAGTGTAGGTCACGCCAAACGGCTCAATATTTTTGAAGGCCACTATTTTCTCGATTTTGTGATCAAATTATCTTATGATCCATTTACGAGTTTTTAGAACTTAATTAAATAGACAAAGTTGGTCCCCCTCCAGATTGAAGACACCCCAATTTCAAGAGTTTTCTTAGTAAAATAGTTGTAGGTTACGATGAGATGAAACTATTTACGAAGTTTCAGACAGATTTTAATAATTCGATAAAAAGGATTCTGTACCACGGATGATTGTTTGTTTGGATGTCTAGGCCCAAAACATCCGATCAACTAAATAACACTACTTTTATACTGTTTGCATAATTGGTACAACAAATAAGAATTAAAAAAAAATGATAAAAATAACTGAATAAAAGGATTGATAGACTAAAATAAATAATTAAAAATAACAATAGACACTTTAAAGAATAAAATAAAATGAAATAAAGTAAATAAATAAAAAATAATAATAAATCTGCAAAGGATCATAATGTATAAACTTGTCATATGTGTTGTTTAAGTCTTTCATTATCTAGGAACTTGATAACTTTGGTAACGATTTCTTCTTGATTTCCCAGGAATGCTGATGCGGAATGGGGTGTAAAAAGGGCACTCTTCAAAAACATGTTTTATAGTTAGTGACTGGTCACACTTATGACATCACACATTTCTTGTTCGGATTGCCAAAGGGTTCAGATTATCGAGACTATTTCTGGTGTATTATTATTTTGTTATTAATTTGCGTAGTTGTATAATACATTTTTTTCGTACATTTTTTAAAAATTATTTGTCTTACTAGCTATTCGAAATTAAATTGTATTTATTTAATAAAATATATTTTTATATAATTAATATATTATTCATGCATCCCACATCAGATTAGTTTCCATTTTCGGTCCTACCTCGGATCCGGACAGTGATGAATGGTCGTGATATAAAATTAAAATGAACGCGTACTCATTTCTTGGTTCATACCAACTCGGAAATAAATGAAACTGAATAAATAAGTACGATATTCTCTTAGGAGACATCTATCATAAGTTTTGAGAAGTGTGATCCATCAAGCGCTGACAGACGCACAACCAGCTGTCCTCACCCCCTCCCCCACCACAGGTCGCAGCAATCCCTCGCTACTAAGTCTTAGCGTCACGAGTCACGTCACGTGAATTATAACCATCATGAATAATACACCAGGTGTAAATCAGCAAATGAGTGATATATATCTTTTGAAAATTATGAGCGTATGGATTTATTTGTGTAGCTACTAGTCTGGCCTACCGTACGGCCGAATTGATAAATACTCTAAAATATAATAGTCCAGAGTTCGAATCCGGATATGACTGATAATTATTCATTGTTCTACAATAGATATTCTTCGATCCTATGGTCGGGAGACCCTCTTGGAGCACAGGGAAGGGATATCGAAGACCCATTATCGATATTAATATCGCACTATAACTATCGATACCATCAAAATATCGGACTTGCAATACCGAAAATAGATATTATAAACATAGTGAGCGGGGTAGCCGAATGGGTTAAAGCGTGTGCAATGCACCGCCGTTGCCTGGCAACCTGACATATGAATTGAAGATATAAAAATAGTCACGAGTTCGCGTCCCGGTGCCGGGGGAGTCTTTTAAATCCCCGCCCACACTCCCTGGCCCGGGAAAATCCCGTATAGCCTTAACGGCGAGGAAGGGAAGGACCAAAAAAAAAAAAAAAAAAAAAAAAAAAAAGATATTATAAACATTTTTAAATATAAATTTTGATTCTCTACTACAAATCTATCACAAAAAAATATGTTATTTTCCTCTTTGAATTAATCAATGGAAATATCAATTCTTCTACTCTCCTTTGTAAAATTAATAAATAATAAATAAATAAAAATTTTAAAAAATGGTACGTTTTGTATGGGCCGGCACTGACTGCTATCTGACAATGTTTATAACCTCAACACTGATAATTCCCATAACGCATTGATAAGCCTTCTCCTACTTCATATCTTCGTATTATTGTATTAAATTCATGTTATTGAAAGTGTAAACAGATACAAAAACAAATGTAATAACAAAAAAATACTTTTATTTTACGACACATATATGAATGAAATAATAAAAAACACTTTAAGAAGATACGTGCGTATAAAACATATTTACATAGAAAAGAAAAAATATCAACACTATAAACAACATATGTATAATTTATTTTCACTTTGAGTTATTTATTTTGGAAGACAAAATTGTTTTATGCTATTTAAAATAGCGAGAAACGGGTCCTCTTCTGTGTGAACCCGCCGCCACAAAAATTCACACAATTTCACGTCTGCAAGTATCCCAACATTTTGAAAATATTGAATTGTCTGTTCTTCTGAAGACGGCAAATCCCATATTTTAAGAAGATCCATAATATGACGAAAATAAACGGGAAAAAAATGAAAAATGAACACAAAAGGGCCACAAACTAAAAATAATGAAAAAAAAACACAAACGGGCCTAAAGTAAAGAATTTAATAAGTGAACGTTATAAGGGAATAACTGAAAACTAAACAATGCAATAACTCAAAGGTTTGGCGGGATAAGAAGAGGGAGGTTATATTACGTGACGTTAGATAAGAAGTGAGGTATCGTGCCGGCCCGCTAGACAAAAAGTACCAAATAAATAAATAAATAAAAAACTGTACCACTACAACCCATGAAAGGTCTTGGGTTCAATACTATTTATGGTCTACAGTTGTGCAAGGAGATGATTTGACCGAGATCAAGCTCAACCGCCAGGTTTTTCCCCTTAATTAATTATTTTACTTAAGGGTACCCACTTTATAGTGGCTGGGTGTGCCCCAGGAGAGTCTACATACTCAGGGTCACCCCACGGCCAATGAAACAGAATAAATAATTTTTCTGCCATGAGCCGGGATTCGAAACTGGGACCTTTACCATTGGAAATTTAGTACCCTACCGCTGAGCTGCCCCACTAAAATTAATATTCTATTAATCTAAAAAATTAAATTAATCTTCCATTCATCCATAGATTAGTCTTGGTTTTAGAGGGTTTTAACTGACAAAGTTGTGCAATTTGAGTTTACTGAGCGGTCCCATGCGGATTATTCAATTCTTCTTAGGAATGACCATCGATAGTCGATATTATCGAAACATCAATATTTTCTTCAACTAAACACTACATGAAACGGACAAGATGAGTATAATTTTTTTCTAGCTATTAGATTCAATATAATTCCTAGCGCTTTACGAAAGTTAGAGTTTTTATTTTTATTTTTAAATAAATAATATCGATTTTAAAATATCGGAAGGAAAATGTCGATAGTAATAATAAAATGGATCAAAAAACATCATTCCCCTTTCCCTTTCCTAATAGTAACACTGCGGAAAAGATACGCGTTAGCGAGAAAATAGAAAGAGGTGGGAAACATGGATATATGATGATCATACTAAATGATTAAGTATCACGAAATATTTTTAGTCCGACAAGAGTGCCACTGATAAAGAGTGCCGCTGTATTTATCTATATTTCATTGTAGGTATTTTTATTTGTTTAAGTACCTGTATATGTACAATTTTTAATTTTTATATCGATGTAATCTATAAAATTAAATCTATATATATATATATATATATATATATATATATATTATATATATATATATATATATATATATATATATATATATGTATGTATATATATAAATGAATGTATGCCTGTCTGTCTGTCTGTTTGTTCTTTGTGCATTACTAAACCATTCTTCCGATCGCCATGAAACTTTGGGAAGTTGTTCCGTACACTCCTGGGAAGGATTCTGGCATAGTATTTCTGTCTTATGATTAATTTTATATATGTAAAAAAAATAAAAATGTAAATGTTTTTCTGTTCAATAATTTCTGTTCGATAATACCCATATTTATTTGAAAGATTTCTGAATTGCTGACCAAATAAAAAAAAAAGTTATAGAAATCGTACGGTTCGTTGCAGAGTTATAGAGTTTTAAACATTTACTGCTTTCTCTTCAGAAAAGGCCATTTCCTTTTGCTTCCTCACTACCGAAAGTCGGCAAGCATTTTTTTTTTTTATTGATTAATCGAAAATTTTATAATTACTACAGTGATTGAAATCATCATTTGAAGAAGTTATATGATTCTCCTTATGTAGGTCAATACTATTATACGTTTTTTTTATTAATTTTTAAATTTAGTTTTATAAGTTCAACTTAGACTGTTTCTGATGATTATGAATGACGACTTATTCACTCAGATGATTACGAATGTTCAAGTTGAATCATGAAAAAAAAAACATTAGAATTAGTTTAAATTGAAGCCATTTTACAGACAAATTTGTTTCCCAACTTTTTAAAAATGACAGATGCCCTTTGCTACTAATCCTATCATATGTGCTTTCTATTTTCTTTCTTTTTCATTTTGCCAGGCTAAGCCACAGCAGGGCGTGGCCGGGTAAAGCTACTATTAAATATTACAAACGATGGCATTAATGAAAACTGTATATGTATATAATATTGTTGTAGTTCGTATTGTATTAACCTCATGTTACGTGTGGAAACTTGTTCTAATCTCTCAATCTTGCTTCGATACAGTGGTTCGGATGAGCTTTTGCGCGCTCATATTCCTTTGGTCCCTCTATTATAATTATTCTTCGTTACGATATTTTATTTCTCTTTTAGTTAATTATATTTTTTTTTATATTTTATATTTAACTTTTTTTTATATCAGAATTAATCGGGAAATGATTAAATATTTTAAATAAGAAAAATAATGGTACTTAAGAGGAACAATTTAGAAAATTAGCCATTTAAGCCCTGTTAGAGAACATCAATGATAAGAAAACCTACATCATATTAAAAACTGCTTAATGTTATACTGATATAAGGAATTTAATCAAACTCGTTAGGGCCGTTTTCGAGAAAATCCAAAAAAATGTGTTAAATTGGTGATATAAAGAGCCACTTTCGGTTAGCCGAGTTTGGCAAAAAAGTTGTAACTCCTCTGGTGCGCACCCAGCCTCTATTAAGTGAGTACTCGTAATTAAATAATTAATGAAGTTTCAAGACAAATCGTTAATCCTAACCCATGAAACTTATCAGAATAATTTATTTTTATTTATTTTTATTATTTTTTTTTTTATTTTTTATTTTTTTATTGAATAATAATACAATCAGCCACTGTTGGAGGGCTATAAGTATTATGGCTAGAAGTTCTCATTCATAGAGTATATACAAGTAATACAGAAGTAACTATAAATATAAGAAGTAAATAAATAATACTTATAAAAAAAAAGTAAATCAATAGGAAAAAAAATAAAAAAAAATAAAAAAAATAAATAAACAAACAAAATAAAATAACTTCTAAACACATTCATACCTATATACAATATATACATTCGCCCAGGAATCTCCGAGCCAGGCTTTTCTCCCCACATGTGGAAAGCAAAGCAGGACTCCAGAGATCCCAGTGCCACTTTTCCAGCCGCATCACTAGTATTAAATATCAGAATAATTAGTTATCAAATTTAAAAGTAAGCGTTATTCTAGTTTATATTATTACTAAACATTGGTATAATAGTAGTAAATTATTATATTAAATATTACTATTTGCCTCACATGCAGGCGTTACACTGTTTGATCTCAGGACAGAAAGGATCTCTGTTTGAGAAAACGTATGGTACAAGCCTCCTTACAGTAAAATATGCATCCAACTTCTTTTCTGCTTTATCTTGTAAGAACTTTGCATTGACCACAAACTTTTGCAGAGTAATATAATCTGAAAATTGCACGTACTTATTAACATCTAGGCAACATTTTTTCATTATTCCAAAAACTTACTTTTCTATTACTACAGATATATGGGGGCTCACAAATTGGAGTATTATAAGAGATTTTTCACAATCCTAATATCTGTTCAAACTATACATTTTTTTGTCCCCCCTACCTCGCCCTTGACTATACGATTTTTTTTTCTTTCTTGGGCAGAGGATGGTGGATTAATTCCAGAGTTAAACGCCCTCGGCAATGCGACTCCAACTCGTAATCTTCAGGTTGCCAGGCAACGAATGTACTGCAAACGCATCAGCCTATCTTCATAAAAAAAAATAAATGAAAAAGATGTTCCTCCTGAGGTGTTCTGGGATTTACTGGACAGTTGTCACGACCTGCACCGCTTTTGAGACAATAAGGGCCAAACTACGGAAGGAAACTGGGGATCATCATGCAGGACCATCTCCCTCAGCTAGTAAGCAAGGACACATAAACATACAACTAAGCTTTCGTGTATGGGTGGAAGGAACTAGTGGTGTTTAATCAGTTTAACCTTCTCTAATGAAAAGAAACTAAGAAACAAATTTAAAGAATGAAGAATTAAAATAATAGATGGAATAAGTGATGTGCAACTAGCAAATGACTATAAAATTTCTTTCCAGTTATATGCACGCAGCTCTATTACATCTTTGTTCATTCTACCTAGCGGATCCAGGATTTAATTTTGGGGGCTGCAGTCTGAAAGATTTTATATATATATATATATATATATATATATATATATATATATATATATATATATATATATATATATATATGACGATAATTACTTTGGAAAAAAATAGTGATACTAACTACCTATATGAAATGGTATTTAAGTGATTCTTGAAGACTTCCAGATGGATTGCTACAAGCTATATGCCCCACCCATCTTAACCTCCTTGCCATAATGTTATGGGATATTGATTGACCAGTTTCTGCAAGCAGTTCTTTATTGATCTTTCTCCATGTATTAGTACTCTCATTCTAGAATGCTCCGGTTATCAAGAGGAGGATTTTTTCCTAAAATCTTTCAGTATTTTCTCTATGGTGCTGATTAGTGTCCCGGTCTCATAGATATACATTATAACTTGCTTTATCATAACATTGTACACTCTTCATTTGAGATTTCTTATTTTATTATTAATTAATAAAATAATAAGTAATGTTATTAGTAGATTGTTGATCTAAATTTTTTTATTTTTCGGAAAAGTAGCTAACGTCATCAGGGGTCGACGTGCTCCGGGCCAACACACAAAAAAAAAAAAAAAAAATGCTAACGTCATACTAAATGTTCACTTCGGATAATAGTTTTTAAAAAACTGTTTACACAAGCTGCCCTAAAGCTAACCAGATTTCTCAACCGAAAAAAAAAAGTTAAAACAAGGTAAACAACACCTGGAAAAATGAGGAATGGCAGATTTGCCCGAACGAGGAATGTCTCGGGGTATCGGAGGACAATAAAAACACAGGTTAAAAAATAGAGAATCGTTCGAAAAAAAAAAAAAAAGAAGAAGAAAGTAAAATCCAAACCACGGTATTTTCGAAATGTTTGAAAAAAGTTGGGATCAGAAAAAAAAAAGGTATATTGGTTTTCCTAGCGAGAAGATCGAAAGTAAACAGGAGCGATTGTGAGGCAATCTGGACCGAGGGCGCCCTCTATCATAGGCCATTTCCCCCTCCCCTCGCCCCCCCCCTCCCGGGGTCGGCGAATAAAGCCTTCCGATAACGGCCAGTCAACTTTTCAAGTCCTATCGGTTTTTATTCTATCCGAAGCCCCATCAAAGGTTATCTCGTCTGTTATATCAGATCGTTGAAGATAACAGTATTAGTACTCTAGACAGGACTGGTGTCGGACCCAGACAAAGGTTATGTCTGTTCTGATACCTTTTCATTTTAAGGAAGTTCACAAAGAAACTATAAAGTACTTTAAAAAAATTAATTATTAGGGTAAGCGCAATATGTCTAACCATAGCAATGGAAATTTTTGTCTTTTTTGGCTTATGCCACCGTAATTATAATAATAATAATAATAATAACGCTTTATTTATTCTGGGACGAGTCCTTTTACAATAATACAGAAAGACAAAAATGTGGGCTAAGGAGCCTCAGACATACATAAACAAGAATATAGTATAATTAAATGTTCAAAATTAAAAAAAAAATAATAAAAGAAATTATAAGTTACTTTCTAATTTAAATCAGTTAAATAATAAAACATAAACATTGAAAATAAACATGAAGTAAAAATAATGAAGAACGATATAATAATTTGTTTATATATTTACTATAGTAATTATTTACAATTTTATGAGGACTGGATGGATAAGAAATTATTGAACAGGCGGGATTTAAAGGTAGGAAGAGTTTTGGATTGACGGATGTGGGAAGGGATGGAGTTCCATAGGGATGAGGATCGGATAATGAACGATCTGTCGAAAGCAGCGGTTCGGTGGGCCATTATGTATAAATCAGAAGACCGGAACGGGTATTGCGGGAGTGGACAGAGAGGATTTGAATTGAAGGAGCTCGGAAATATATGAAGGACAGTGGGATTGGATGACTTGCAAGAGGAAGGATGCCAGAGAATACTTACGACGTAGGAAGGATAAAGCCACATCAACTCTGCATAAAAACGGGAAACAGAGACGTCCCTTGGTATCCCGAAGATGAACCGTACAAAGCAATTTATCAAACGTTTTAGTTTCGCCTCGAGATTCCCAGAGGCGCCCCCATACTGTACAACAATAGTCAAAGTGGGGAAAAATTAAGGAAGTTACTAAGAGCCTATCAGTTTCAAGGGGATATAGGTGACGGTAATAATTTAGACGTTTTAAGGTGGAAATGGTACGGCGGAAGATGTTGGATATATGATTTTTCCAGGAAAGCGTTTGATCAAAGATCATTCCATGTTTTTTGATGGAGGGAAAGAATTTGACGGGATCATATAGGAATAGAGTTGGAATATTGGGAACAGTTTTAAGGAGGTGATTAAAGCCTATTAAGTTTGCCTTCGTCTTTTCTGCATTCAAATTCAACTTGTTAGCTACTCCGTTGTACAGACTCCTGTTTATCAAATGATTTACATCCGCCTGAAACTTCGTGAATAACTTTATCTCATCCTAACCTACAACTATTTTATTTACAAAAACTCTTGGAATTGGGGCGTTTTCAATCTGAAGATCGGCCAACTTTGTCTATTCAATTAGGTACTAAAAACTCGCAAATACTATTATTTTCAACTTATATCGTAAGATAATTTGATCACAAAACAGAGAAAAAAAAGTTGGCCTACAAATATATTGGGCCATTTAGCCTATAAAACCTTGTTATTTTGACATTTTGGGGATGTAAGTTACGCCAAACGGTTCAATATTTTTTCAAGGCCACCGTTTTTCTCGAGTTTGTGCTCAAAGTATCTTACTATACAAGTGGAGAGAAAATGGACATTTAAGAGTTTTTATCACCTAATTAAATAAAAAAAATTTGACGATCTCCAGATAGTAAACACCCCAATTCCTAGAATTGTCATAAATAAAATATTTGTAGGTTACGATGAGATGAAGCTATTTACGAAGTTCCGGCCGGATGTTAATAATTTGATAAAAAAGGGTCTACATCACGAACTTTTTTATTTTGATGGATCTTTTTTTTTTCTATTTAACATTTTAAAATAATAAAATATTAAGTTATGCTGGTATCACCATATAAAAAAAAAACACACCTTTTTCCACTAGTGATGGACACACCGAAATTCAATTGTTCTAGTAATGTATAGTGGGTCGGCACCAGTAATGGTCATACCTCAGAAAAATTCTAAAATTTTTATTTAATGATAAAAATAAGATAACATAAATGTTCAACGTAATCTTAGCAAAACTGTTAGTAGGAAGATATGAAACTACTATGATAGACATCCTAAAATTTTCTTTTGGTCAAACTTTGTTCATACAATTGTCAATAGAGGGCATTGTTCTTCAATCTAGAAAAAAACTGGAACCTTTAAATCAAAAAGGAAGCTTATTGTTTATGTTTAAAGTCCAATCTGTCCGTAACTGGCACGTTCACCCTAATTCATAAAAATTCAAACTTACCGACATCATGAGGAAGGTGGGGTTGAGTAATAAGCCATTCGTAAAGCTTTTGAACATGTTTTGTGAAATCTTCCTCAGACAAACCATAATGCCTCTTGATTATTTCGAACTTGGCCCCACAGAAGCAGGACTCGGTCATTTCCTGTAACAAATAAGTGAAATCAGAGTTGATAAGAATAAAAGGTGACGTTTCTTTATCATCTCCAATGTTCACATCGAATAAATATTGCTATATGTATGTCGTATCTAGAGAGTCGGGATGGTGCTTACAGTCTAAGGACTAAGGCACTTACAAGACTTATAGCCTGAAAGGCAAGGAAGGGGTGGACAAAAAAAAACAAAAAAACTCGTATATAAAATATCATAATGTTCTTTTACAGGATGTCAGTCGCTCCTCTGAGATTTGGTCTATGTACGGTCTGTTTCAGAGTAAGAAATATAGATCCTAGTGCACCTGATGACATTGAGCAGCCATAATCCAAAGATCTAAACCGATTTGTCACTGTCCTTGAACCTAAGCGAATATATAGGAAGGGCACTAATGAATCACCAAAGGTAGTTTTGCCCAAATCAAAACAAAATCAGTCTTGTTCGTGCAATTACTTGTTAGCTTATTATTATAGAGATATTATTGCAATTTTTCATGTAGGAGAAACCTAACTAAGCCCGAATAAAAAATTAAAAGAATTAAATGTAAAAGTATATTGCTTGTACAATTTTTTTACATATAGTAACTAAAATTGTCAAGTATAAGTAACTATTTTGTCTCAATTTTTAATCACAAAACCAATTTTTTTTTTATTAGTCCTGGTCTTGGTCTTGGTCTTGCAACAGTCAGGCAGTTTTAGTCTTGGTCAAAGTGCAAGACCAAGACCGATTTTGGTCAACACCACCCAAAGAGCTATGGAGTGCCAACGTGAGGTTGGGAGATCTCACTGTGCTTTCACTAAATATTTCGAGATCGGTGAGCCTCTCAATACATGCATTCGCTGATGACATTGTTATTTTTTCGGACAGTGACAGGAATCTTCAGTAGAATATTAATAGATTAAAAGAAGAATTGTAGAAGATTAATATGATTATCAACCGTGTAAAAACGAAAGTAATGAGGGTTGGAAAGAAGCCTAGGAGAAATATGCGCGTCATCAGAGTCGAAGACAGAATCCTCGAGCAGGTAGAAAACTTCAAATACTTGGGCGCACACCTTAATGAAAATGGATACATCGATTCAAAGGTGACTGAGCGAATCGCTGCTTTGAGCAGGATGTTTGAGGCAGTTAAGAGAGGTTTTCCAAACAGAGTGAGGTGGAAAAGAAATAAAGGTGGTAGTTTTCAGATCGAAATTTCTGCTCATTTTAACGTACTCTTCAGAATCATGGACGCTGACAAAGAAACATCGATCAAGTATACAAGCGTCAGAAATGCAATTCCTCCGAAAGATTGGGGGGGAAAACGAGAGAGATAGAGTACGCAACACCACCATCAGGTCGAACCTCAATATAAAGCCGGCCAATGATGTGATTGAGGAGAATCAACTGAGATGGCTAGGACATCTTCTGCGTATGGAAGCGAACAGAATAGCTAGCGAAACCTATCGATCTAAAGTGGATGGCAAGAGAGGAAGAGGACGGTCTAGAAGGAAATGGGAAGATAAAGTGAAGAGCAACTTCCAGAGAAGAGGTCTTCAATGGAACGATAGGAGGCATCTTGTTGAAGACCGGCAGAGCTGGAGAAGGCTCTATAAACTTCCTCCTCACACTGCTTAATAGAGGATGGATTATGTGGATGATGAATTTTCAAGTTTGAGTAACTATTTTGCATTAATTTTTATTCACAAAAACGATTTTTTTTTTACTAGTATTGGTCTTGGTCTTGGTCTGGCATAATTCAGGCAGTTTTGGTCTTGGTCAGAGTGCAAGACCAAGACCGATTTTGGGCAACACCACCCTAAGAGCTATGGAGTGCCAACATTAGGTTGGGAGATCTCCTCTAGACTGTGCTTTCACTAAATATTTCTAAGAAGACCACACCGCGCATAACAAATATATACCTTAATATTTCACTGTTTTGAATGGTGTTGCCCAAAATAGGTCTTGGTCTTGCACTTTGCAAAAAAATCGATTTTTTGAATAAAAATTAAGGCAAAATAGTTACTAATATTTGACAATCTTAGTTACTATATGTAAATAATTGGTATAACCAATATACTTTTGCATTTAACTCCTCTAATTTTTCATTCAGGCTTACTTAGGTTTCTCCTATCTAAAAAATGACAGTAATATCTCTATAGTAATAAGCTAATAAGTAATTGTACTACCAAGATTCGTCACGGTCTCGCATTTGGGCAACACTAGTTTTGATTTACAGAGAGACAATTCAAGAAAGTACTAGTACTTAATAATATTGATTAAAATATCTCAGATACTAAAACCCGGACCTGCATATTGTAAACCAGAGAAATGTTCAGCATTTCTTTCTCTTTTTAATGAGCTATTATTTAAATTTCGTATTATTGATCTTGCCTTGTAAGCAATTAACCAATTTAGGTAATAAAAACCAAAATTAAACTTCTCATTGGTGATGTGTTGGACAAATTTTATAACTGCTTCACCAATAGATATATTTTTTTATGTTGAAGCTATTATATGATGCAGATAACTTACCTTTTTATTTTATGTGTCTCTTAGTATTTCTTATGATGAATGTTCAAAATTTTTACCGTAGGACAAAATCCGCAACTGCAAATATCAAAATTTATCTTTTTAGCAATGAATATGATATATCATTATCAGATAATTTGTTCCATTTTAAGCATGAAAGAATTTAGCCTATCACTAAAACTATTTCACTATAACCTACTTGGAAGGTAAGTTAACCTTCTTGAAAACTTCACCATTTGAAGTGTGGTTGTCGATACGGCATTATTTCCAGTAGAACTTTTAATGTAATTTTTTGAAAAGGTATTACTTGAAGAAACCAAGATTTAAAACCTTTGAATATTACCATGGAATATTTGTTTAAAAAATTGAAAATAAAGAATGGGTTTTTATTACAATAGAGTTCTGAGTATATAATAAAATTTTAACTTTTATTTAGGTAATTTCTTTTTAAAAAAAATTAATATAAATACAAAATAAACTATAACTTATCGTAAATGAATTGTCTGTTTCTTATATTTGTTTTTTTAAAGTTGAAGTGACCAATTATCAAATATTGGATTTAATTTTCGTTTAAATGAATTGATTTAACAAAACTTTTACATAAAATCAAATTGAAATTTTATATTGCTCGAGCGGATTGCAGTGTTGTAAACTAACTCAAACATAACTTTTTGAATGCAACTGCATCATTTTTTAAACATGGCTATTTATATAACTTAAAATTATTAATTTATCATATAGGTATGTTATTTAAAAAAATTCGAAATAGTTTATAGTATGTTACTTTACTCATGGCCACTTTCCTACACGGCAAAATATGTACCTATAGTCATTTTCTTAAAGCGCAGATATATTTAAGTTAGGAGCTACTAACCATTAGAAAATTACATAATATTTGTTAATATAACAAACAAAAATTGCACAACCACGTGAAAGGCAAAAGAAAATTACAACATCCATGATTTCAAACACCACACAGCCCGATATATTATTTTATTTTTCAAATTAGTAACTTGTTTATGCAAATAAACATGGCATTAAAATAAACATCGATAATTATCTATCAGTCATAACTATCATGTGATCATGCAAGTATGTTTACTTTGCAATAACATGTAATTTCGAGAAAATGTAAACTTTATACGGTAAACTTACTGTTTGTAGCGATATCCATAAATATCATAGGCTAGAAACTCAGTGACAATCACTGAAGATTCAGTCATGGTGGGCATGCCAAATTTAAAATAGAATCTAAAGCACTTCCAACCAAAGACGTTAGAATTAAATATAAATAGAACTGTCGTTTATTATTAAATAATTAGTTATTAGATTGCAATATTTCAGTTCCTTTGCCTTATAAAATTCGTCACCATATAATTTTAAACTTTCGACTTGGATGACTGAAATAATAATACATGTATGGAATATTTATATATTTTTTCTCAATGGTGTTTTTTGTTTCTATGCTATTCTTTGTATTCTTATCTTTATCGATTATTCATCAAATTATGGGAAATAGTAACATCCCTCTGAAATTTCAGGAAAAAAAGGAAAAGAAACTTTTTTTCGAATAACTTAAAAAGTTTGTTTTTTTATGTATTTCACCCATGAAATTGAAAGATTGCATCTTATAGTAGGGACAGCCATCGATGGTCGATATTATAGAAATATCGATATTTTCCTTCCCATATTCGGTATTTTACCATCTGTAGTATCTACTTCAATTTTATCGACTATCGATAATTTAATATAAAAATAAAAATGTGTTTCACCGTTTATATAAAGTGGCACTTCTGGTTGGCCGTTTTTAAGGAAAATGTTGCTGTAACATCTGAGCCATATAAAAACCTTAAATATGCAATTTAACTTTCTTACGACTTTTCGGTTTTAAGCTAGACTGCTAACACACCCACACACACAGACATCTAAGGCAGATACCTATCTTAAATACGTAATATCATTTTCGTACGACTTTTCGTCTTCGAGCTTGAGTGTTCACAGACACGCAGACATTTGCATGAATTGGCTATTTAGACTCAGGAGACCTCAAAACATGTATTCCCGTTGAAACCTTAGATTCGTAAATTTTTTCGATCGCAATACTTATCCTCCTTATTATATTTTTCATATATAGGTAAGTGAAAGTAAAAATTAAAACTATCGGAAAACGCTAGGAATTAATTACATATGAATCTGATCTTTAGAAATATATATATCATCTTGTTTGTTTCATATAGAATGTAGCGAGCAATAGAGGGAAATATCGATATTTCCATAATATCGAATATTGATAGCCATACTTAAGTAGAGTTGAATAACGCGTGTGGAACCCTCCTCACTCAGTTAACGCAATTTGCCCAAATTTGTTAGGTAGAACCATCTCAAACCAAAGCTAGGAATTTTCAAAGAAATCTATGTAGGGTGCAAATAAATCGGCATTTCGCTGAATCCGATCTATGGATGAATGGAAGGCATAAGT